TCATGATGAGGTCTTCGAAACTGCAAAAGCCGAAATCTCTTTTAAGAAGCCCAAACAATCATTGATAGTTATTCCAGAATACATTATTTACGCAATGCTTGTACAAACCTGTGATGTTGAATTGGCCATTTACAACTGGAACGAGTGCAACAACGAAAATTGTGAAGTTCGCAAACCAGCTGAATTGGGTCATCTTGCTGTCTAGGTGAACACTTGCCCTGAAGAAACCTGGTAAAAAAATAACACAGACGGAGGTTAAACTGCAGAAATAGCTGTATTTACAAACGTGAATGCATCGCAATTTGAAGTCTTCCGTGATCATATCATTGAACGCAAACTCAGCTGTCATGGCATTAAAACAAAACTGTGTGGCTGGACTTATGGTTCTACTTCCTTGCTATAGTAATGTTTTTTTCTCTCCCACAAGAACCACTAGCTCTCTAGGTGTTATAAATCGAAATTCCATTATTCCGTAAGGTTGATTATAACAGCGGGGTGCTGTGGTCCAATGGTTACGGTGTTCGACTCGTGTGCCGTGGTACATGGGTTCGAATGCTGACCGTGGGAACATGGTGCTTGTGCTCTTGAGCAAGGCACTTTACCATTATTGCTTCGTCCTTCGGATAGGATGTAAAGCCGTAGGTCCCATGTGTTGTGTAATGCACGTTAAAGAACCCAGTAACACATATCGCAAAGAGAAGGGGTTTTCCCCGGTGTTTCTGGCAGTGGCTGCAATATGCGCCGCAGCACCTTGTAGATCCCTATAAAGAGGTGCTACATAATGGGTCTCATATTTTCCATAACATTTATTTACCTTTCTTTAATAATAGACATAATTTCCAGCGCCTTGAGTACCTAATTGTTGGTAGATACGTGCGCTATATATAAGACTCCGATATTATTATTATTAACAAAGTAGCCCAGGTGGGATGCCATACAGCACTAACGTCATTCGTAATCAAATGAAGACGGCAACCAACCTGGGCGACACAAACATCAAACTATTTCCAAATTAGCTATATAAAGCTTTTAGACTTTTGTTTCCCTTACATTTTTCATTACAATGTCATTATTTTTAAAGGCATACTGAACTATCTTACACCGTCAATACTACCACATACTAGCATGGGAAATACCCGCAGTACTACTAGGAAAAATCTGTATGTTAATTATTGTAGAACGACATTGTCCAAAAACAGTGTTGTCCAACGTGGCACTCTATATTGGAATAGTCTGGATAACTCTTTTTAATCATCACCCACTCTCTCTATTTTTGCTAAAAAACTAAAAAATCAATTTTTAATTGCATACTAAAACAATGTAATAGGGATAACAACGGCCTTGATTACTGTCTTACACCGGTGTTTGTGCTCTGTCTTTCCATGTATGTCTGTCCCTTGTCTGTCTGTCCATAGGCTGGGGAACAAAAGCTTATGCTTCACCCCGGACCTAGATGCTGCCATTTAGTTAATGTTCACTATTGTAATTATATATATGTACATGTATTGCCAATTTGAATATATAACATTATGTATCGTCCTTTACGCAGCATCGAAATAAATGTATGTATATCGAAACCCCAGCTCTATACTCATGACATCGGAAACTCGCCATCTAAACAGTAAATGACGAATTGCTGTTAAAAAAAGTTACACCTTGACACCGGACACTCCTTATGTCAAAGCTATTTAGCGGCAACATTTTTGTGTCGCAAATAGGCTAGATCGATTGCGCGTGGTCCAAAATTTAATATACCAAAATTCGTGGAGGTAGGATAAGGAAAAATAGGGTAGGGATCATTAAAGTTGGAAACATTTTGTGCACACCCCTATGGGAATGTCACCCTATAAGGTACGTACCATATTCCCGTAATTTATTATACATCTCCGATGTCATCAGTCTTATAGTTGCTTGGGTTTGCAAGCTAGGTCTCAGCGGCGCCGTGGAACATTAACAGCTTTGAAAGGGGGACCAAAAAAAACAGTACCGGCACCAACTGGCAGTTGCAAATTCGAAAAGCGGCGAGGGGGGGGGGGGGGCCTCAACCTCAAACATCAATAAGGGCGCCCTTTTCTATGGTTGTCGTTTCGAGGAATGTAATTACATCCGGTCCCCAAAATTCCGCCACGCCATGCCAACTGCAGAGTATATCATTTTATGTAGGCCTTCCCGATCGGACCGAAAACGATAATTCAATCCTGTTATTTCCAGAAACGGTGGGAAAAGTGGAAATATTGGGGGCCATGCATGGCCACCTGCACCCGGTTCCGCCGCCAGTACTAGGGTTTCCCAAGGGCAAGGTGCTACCATACCATGTACGCGCCCTAAATTAATAATTCTCTGGCATTCCTTGCTATGACTATAAAAAGGTAATACGGAGCTCTTACCTTTCAAAATAATTACGACTGTGTTGGTATTCTGTAATCAGTCTAGCTAGCTCGCAGAAGTATGTAGGCCTATCGTGCCGTTCGTGCGACCCTTCAAGAGGCTTGGTACTGACTTCTAATCTTATGCAGTGCCATGCCAATTAGTCTATGGAATATCCCCGTTGACTGCGGCTCTGCACACGTCAACATCTGATAGTCAGTCAAGCCAAATTGCCAATGTGACATTGGCTCTCTAAAGAAATAAGCCTTGCCACGTGATCCGCGAGCTGTCTGCCTATTACTACGCGCAGCGCCCCCAACTGGCCTAATACTCTGGTGATAGAATACCGAATTGGCGAAACGCTGATGCATTGGTATAGGTATAACTTCTCCAATTGAAGCTTTTGCCACATATACCACAAACATTATGGTTTCTTTGTAGTGTGAACCATGTTGATCAAGATTATACCTTTCTGTCAAAAAAAAAACATTCCCATACGTGTAACAAACACATTTTTCTCTTTAGTGTGGACCCTCTGATGTAGTGGTATAGGGAACAGCTCTAAGAGATTTTTTGCCACAAATATGACAAACGTATTGTTTCTCCTTATAATGTGAACCCTCTGTTTTTAATACGCTACGGAACATCTTTGCCGCGTCAAAAACACATGGCTTCTCATAAGTGTGGGCCCTCATACAGATGATGTCTTGCATGTCGATTGTCTTGCAAAGGTTAAAGATTTCGGCAAAACGATTCACCTATTAAAAAAACACACATTAGAACACTCTCACAACCATAATAACTGGCACTGATCATAACATTTTATTTAAAAACCTGCTGCTTCCAATGTTAAAATAACATGCTTTACGTCAAGAGTTTATAGAGTTGCCTTGCCTTCTATACTTGGCTACCCCAGAGAGTTTTATGGCATTATTATGATACCATTTTCAGGATCTACGACATGGTTTCATTTTTACTGACATATCACGTACCCTAATTAAATGTGATCCGTGAACAAGAGTTTAAAAAATGGTGTTTGTTATCAAAATACCACAACTGGAAAATTGCATGAGCGATTTGAATGATTCTAATCTTTCACTAAAAGAAAGCTTATTGGGCTTTCATATCCAAGATTTGAAAAGCTCTACGTGCAGAAATTCCTCAAAAAAAAAGAGGCAACCATTTGGGTCTCCTTTTCTTTCTTTCTTTTTAACTAAACATGATACATGTAAGTCAACTACATACAATACACATCGCTAAAGATGGCTTAGGCTTTGCAAAACAAAACAATATACAATTGGCATCATGTAGCCATCTATTATTAGTGCATTTAACTGCTATTTTCTTTTTCTTGTCAGTTTCAATTTTAATTTTTCGCAGACCGACTGACGGATGTCCTCTCTTTGGAGGCAACATAATAAGAGACCCAGGGAAATAAAATGGGATGCCTGAAAAGAGAGAATGGTACAATTATGTAGCCTGTGATATAAACACTTCAAGGCCGAGTACGGATAGTCCAGGCAATATAAGGTTTGACCTCAAACAAATTGCAACAATTGTTTTTTCACCACAGTGCATTTCTATATTAAGGTCCCTAAAATGACATACTAAAAGTCTTTAAAAATCCAGGTGGTGGAACCACCTGTGTACTAAACTGCAGTGTAACAAGATCATACAGAAAAAAAATAAATTCACATACTGTCTTCATTATAACAAAACAAACAAAACAATAGCCCCCCCCCCCCCTCAAAAAAAACACCCCAAAACAAAACAAAACCACCCCAACAAACAAACAAACATACAGTGCAGTCTCTACTAAATATTTGAGAGCTTGTAACAAGTCATAAACAATTATATCATGGGCTTTCTCTAGATCCTCTTTCTCAAATGATTTTACGCCACTCTAGTCGCCAATCAGTTTAGATCGTCTTGTTATTTTTAAACTTGTAATTTAAACTATGACAAAGAGTTGTACCAGTAACATAATGGAAAGACAGCTTCACACAAAAATTGATTATAGTACAATTTACCACTCAAAAGACTACTGTAAGGCTTCACAATCCATTTGTAATACCAACTGAATATTAAAGCAAATGTGCACTTGTATAAATAGAGACCAAGTTTTCTCTCTTTAATATAATTCAAAGTATTAACTTTTATTGGTATAGCAGACGTCAATAGAAGTCCAAGTCGAATACAAGTGAGCTGGCATATACATTAAAGATATAGTCCATCATTTGTAATTTGTGCATTTTGTTAGTTTGAAGCAACAAAAGGGCTCAAAATCGAAAGAAGGGTGCTGAACAACTAACCTGATGAAGTTTCAGCTCCGCTTCAGCTGTTTATTCCGAGAAAAACAAACATTCTAGGATCTAAATTTGAAATCAAAAGTTACCGAATCATGTTTTGAATTGTTTTTAATTGCAGCTTTACGCGACGTCGCGCACTGATCCGACGAATTATAGCAACCACGCGCGCGTGTGTGTCGTGCCAATGCTTGCGCGCGCTTCGCCGAATGACAAAACGAACTACTAATTTAAATTTTCCTACGCCGTTGGAAAGGCCTTCTTTCGTTGATTACTTCAAAATGACAGCTTCCCAGAAAAAATAATTTCACAGGGAGTTTAGTTCCCTTACTATCTTTCAACCAAGTATGTTTTCCAACAATAATTACGCCAGTTACTTTTCGGATGGCTGCAAATGATGGACTATAGCTTTAACATGTCTTTCAATTTCGTCCTTAACAATATTTGTACTTATGGCAATTAAAGAATTTACAACAAGTTTACTAGTTTGACTTTTTCAATACTATGATCGGTAACTGCTGTGAAAAGTAAAATACGTACAGAGATATTGATCTCATATTTTGATAAACCCACAATTTTCCATAACGACAGGACTCTATGTCATTGCATTTATTTATACATGTAATCACGCCCTGACATGGAATATCAACAACATATTTAAGAACAATTCATGCAAAAGCTCAATTCTAGAAAAAGACAAGAAAACTCAAAAGTTTGATCATAACAGTTTCAAGTCAAAATACAAATTTCAGTCTCCACAAATTATACACCAACTTACAACAAGACATAAACCATGGGCTTGCCCTCCAAATTATCGCCCGAGTGCTTCCAACAGCGACTGAAATTAAAAACAAAAATACAAATTGAATTTAAATATAGGGAGCAATCGGGTACACCCCCCGTGCATTCGGCATGCCTTCACTAAAGCCCCCCCCCCCCAATTCCTGAAAGCTAAATCCGCCTAAGTTAAACTCCCAAATGACCCAGCCACTGCCCCTGTTCCTTCTCATGGTTAAGCAGTCTGGTTCCCTGACCTGCCAATCCCCCGACGCCCTGACGTCTATATTGTAAGTCAGGCAGCCGCCATAGGGCTTACAATAAACATGATGGCCCTTTTTCAAAGCTTCGTTTCCAGTTTGGTTTTGCATTCAAATCAAAATTGAGAAAAAAAATCACTTGCTTCGTATATTATTCAGTTTGATATTACTGTAAACCGTTCATGGCAATGAACGGTCTAAATCTGGTGTGAAAAAAACTTTCTGAATCAACTGAAAAGAATTGCGTGCGCTCTTTCTTGTACTGGCTTGCAAAGTTTTGTTCGAGGTCAAACTGGTTTTTGAAATGCACAGCGTGTCTTTGTGTTCATAGTATTCACAATGCATCGTAGAATGACTGTAGGGCAGGCTTTGCAAACTACAGTTTTTATATGGAAAGCTGCATGAGTACACTGCAAGTAAGTGGATCAGCCGAAGTGTGTGGAAAAAAAATCAAACCTAATTTTTTGTGTCCCTTTTAGAATGCATGCTTGGGATAATTTCATTCCAATGTCATTCTAAGTTCATATTATAAATGAAACACGTAGCAACGACATGAAACTTGTGAGGAGCAGAAACAAAAGACAGCTCTTGTCATTCGTGGGCCTTATTCCCGAGTCGGCAATTGAAAGTTAGGTAAAATCTTCCTTTTTGGAACTTGCGAAGAGAAATGAAAGCAAGTTAATTTTTAATAAAGTCCAGTCTGCATCAATGAATAATTTAAAATGTGTAATTAAACATTCCCGAATGTTTAAAGCCATATTTAAAAAAAAATTACAGTAAAGAAGGCTGCGTTGTGCCTGCATAAATAGTCTGGCGCCATCCCATTCAACAGTTAACAACTATTGAAATACACAGGGAACTCGACAAAAATGGCCAACTGGTGAATAAGGCCCATGATCATCATCATGAGACATGACTTACCGTCTGTAGTAGCGAAACAAACAGAAACCAAGAACTGCCAATCCAGCGACGATGATCACTGTAACTGCGACAACCGCTCCAATAACTGCAGATAAGAGAAAAGTTCCCAACAGTCAATTGAATCCTTCTCTGGCATTAAATCCCAAAAGAGCTATTTTTATTCTCTCACAGCTGAGTAAGGGGTTGGTTTCTCCTCTCTGAGGTTAACCTTTGATTGTAGATTTATTTGTGAGGATGCCAAAATTTGGAAGGATAACTATATCTCTCTCAGTTCCTAGTTAAGTATCTGCCAGAATTAAAACAATGTCACTTTTATAGAATATCCCTCTATTTAGACTGAGCATATTGTTCAGTCTTCTGGCAAAATGATTATATAGACTATATAGACATAAGGCATCTTATCTCAGTAGAGTCTAATTAGAAATCAGATGGCAATTAGTTGCCTCCCCACAAAGACACTATGAAAGAATATATGGTGCATGCATGCACTGGTTTTAGTGTTTGTTCAGACTTTCAGTGCCTTGTTCAGAGTCGGTCGGGAGTAATCTCAAATTCTTTGAATGTTAGAGGAGTGCACTTAATAAAGCATATGTGCATGTTGGCATTGCTGATAAAACTATCAAGAACACATAGGTTGTGTCAGTTTGTCATTTGACAAAAGATTAAAGTTGCAGTTTGAACCACTCTGTGTCATCTTGACAAAAATTCTTAATCTTACCTGCGCCGCTGGGAGCGCTCTTATTTTTGTTAGGTGCCGTTGAAGTTTCAAAAGTGACACCAGTTGAAGTTACAGTCGAAGTCTGGATGGTTGAAGAAGCAGGCTGGATGGGCACTGTTGGAGGATGGCAAAGAGTGGGTTCTGAGTCCTTTACACTACAAGTGACTTGGTTGAGTTCCGAGGCAAGGATGTAAGCAAAGACGCCAGATGTTGTCTTACCGTAGAGTATGGCGGAGTACACAGCTTCTGATGGACTGTCTGGATATAGACCTATCGTGTATACACCAGACTCCAGCTGTCTGTTTGACCCGCAGTACTCCAACCCATCATCAATGCCAAAGGTCTTCTCAAAATCCAAAGCAGAGCCAGAAGCAGCCATGTTCTTAATAAGATAAATCTGTTCAAGAAACTTGCAAGGCGCCAATGTGGTAATGTAGGTGTCTACTTTTATGCCTGGCAGTTCATACGTTGAGAATGTGAACGGTTGACGCGTGAACTGTTCTGCTGTTGGTACGGTTACCAGTGCGGTGTCCATAACGGATGTCCCTAACTCAATATGGTGGAGCAACAGGAATGGTTTGGAGCCTTCAATTTGCCCGACTTCCTTGGAATCAAAGGTAAGATCCAAAACATGGCCGCTGTTGAGTGTAAAGCTTTTATGAGTATAGCTCCCATTCGAATGATGTCCTGAAATCCAAGTGATGTTGGTATTTTCCCAGACGGGTACAATGCGGAAGATGTTTCGGAGATGATTTCCAGCAACTGGCACCGCAGCGTACTTTGTCCCTAAGGATACTAGCGGGTGCAGCTGATCTAGTGATTGAGCCCAACCATACTCCGCGGATGCACGGTGTGTTCCCACAAAGCCAATGAGTGGTTTGTCTGTCACTTCTTGCAGATGACCCCCCATGAAGCTGTTGTGTGTCTGATACGTCGCCCATCCCCCAATTCCTCGCCCAAATTGTGTCGTTGCTGGCCAATCCTCATGACCACGAATGGTGACCTTACTGTATGGGTGCAAATTAAAATGTGTTTCTGGTTCAGTAGCAACGACAGTGAGTTCGGACACATGTTCCTCTGGCCTTTCATAAGAAGCTACGATGTAATATCCATCCAGGGAGTCTACGGGGAAAGCTGTGTACGCATTCAGGGTACCGGCAATCTTGACAAAGACGGTCACAGTTATGTTTTCATCGGCTGTGATGTTAAACATAGCCGGCGTTGGTGGTGTGGTAGTTGCCAAGGGTTCAAGTTCAGAGATGCTTAGAGAAACAAACCTTGGAGATGTAGCCTGAATGGTAAAATTTTCAGAAAAGTTTCCTTATAGAAGAGTGATGCGAACTGTGGCAGATGACCTGTAAGAATAAAGGATCCAGTATGACAAAGCTCCTTAAATATAGATGCCAGGAGCAGGGGGATCGTTTTGCCTCAGAAAATGCACTCCGAATGTCTTCCTCTTTTTCTTTTTACTTGAATGAATTGTTTGATTTAATCCCAAATATAATAGCTTTCTTTGAAACTGAAATTGATGTGTACATGTACCTTTGACAAGAAACACAAACTATCTGAAGAGATGAACCGCTTTCTGGCAACCCAGTTGTCAGGGGTATCACCGCTACAAAATCCTGTCCAAAGATGTGCGTCTGTCTGCCTGGCTCTGTAAATACATGTAATTAACATGTGAAGTTATTTTTCCCTTTCAACTATTCCATGGCTGAGAAACTCACAAACAATCCTGAAACGGGTAAAGTAAGTCCTAAAAATTGGTCAGTAGATCAACTCCCTCCCGGCCCTGCAACCCCCCTGCCATCCCCCTCCCCACAACGGGTTCGATTCCTATCCTGGTCCACGTGTGGATTGGGTTTTCAGTCCCTATACCTGATTACGTGGGTTCCCTAAAATGATCTTCTCGGGTTTTCCCACATCTAAAACTGCAATTTCGTCTCATTTTCCCATCTCGTCCGTAGGGCGCTTTTGAGAAATCCTTGGTTTAATTACCAGAAATAAATAAATAAACAAACTAAAATAAGTACAATTTAGATTTTGGACGCCCAAAACTTCAACTGCTGACTTAATTTAGCCCTGCATCACTAGCCCACCTTTGTCCTCACCCCCATCTCAATCCCCTTGCCCAACCAAAACTAACCCATCCAAAAACGACCCCAACAAACCCCACCCCATCCGCACCCCACCCCAATCCAAAAACGGTGACCCCGAGATCCCCATGGGCTCCGTGCGCCAACCGGCCGAAACAGCCCTTGTTTTCGTTAAAGGTTTCTTTTTGGCTTTTTCGCAAATTTACGAAAAAGCCTTTCTTTTTGTTCTCATTTTTTTTCCTTTCTTCTTCTTCTTTTTGTCGCCTAAATCCCTTAGACTTTGTACACGTTTTTTTTCAGTGCCAGCATCATTCGAAGTTACTACAGGCATAGTCCCTATGACAGAGTTGTATGCCGAAGAGTGACGTCATCATGACGTTACCATGGGTCACGTGATCATGGGTCACGGGCATATTTTGAAGTCCTGTATCTACAGAACTGTTAGTCCGACTGGGTTGTAACTCGGTATGGAGGTAGACCGGGATGTGTTATAGGTAAAATTGAGGTGACGTCATCGTGCGATTTCATATGAGTTTTTGAATTTTTAAACCTTTAAGCCATATCTCACGAACACAACATGCAAAATTCAAATTCTTTTTGTATTATGTTTGTTAGGTACTAACAGGTATTTGTACAAAATTTTGAAAAATGTGTGACGTCATCATGACGTCATCAAAAATGCGAATTTTTAAAACACATAGGGCCTATAAGGGGAAGTCCGATCGTCATGAAACTTGGTGGGTAGTTAGATAATAGTACTAGTATGCAAAATCCGAAATTACGTCACCATGACGTCATCGCATGATTTTTTATGATTTGTTTAATATTAACAAATTCATTCCCTCTTCCAAAATTAAACACTTTCTTTCGTTGCATTGACTTCAAGCTTGGTACAAACCAAGACCACAATGCAAAAATGTGCATTGACAAGTGTTAATCATCAAGATGACGTCATCGTAAGGCATGTGACGTCATCGTAAAGGTGCATTTTTAAAGTCGAATATTGAGGAAACTCTCAGTCCGAATGGTTCAAAATTGCGTATGAACCTAGACCGATACGTCTGATTTAATATGGATTTATTTCTTTTTGATGATAATTCATCTTACAGACGCAACATGATAAATTAAAAAAATATTGTACCGTATGATTTGAACAAATCGTATGATACAAAGAAATATCATAATGCGGAAAAGCCCTATGTTCTGTTGCAAACAGACATAGATCTCTAGCTTTTCCTTCTTTTTCAGCCATTCCCCATAGCATTTGTACACGTTTTCATCGTGGAAGGCACTTTCAAATTAAAATCAATCCGATTGGCACACTTAGACCAGCATCTTAAGATGTGCACCCAACATTGACGTCATCGTGACATATTTTGAAGGCCTATATCTCCACAACTACAGGTCCAATTGGGTTGAAACTTTGGTATGTACCTAAATCGGGATGTGTTATAGATGAAAATTGATGTAACGTCATCAAGACGTTAATCACATGAAATGTTACGTCATTATTCAAAGCCCTATGAGAATGTAATCACCTATATGCCATCATTTATTATAAACAGAACTACACATCCTTCCTTGATGGAACTTATACTTGAAACTTTACATGTCACATGTCAAAAACAGTTACCAAAACAACCCTTTTTGTCCAGAAACATAGTACTTGACATAAAACTAGTTTTGAGATTGTTTTTATCCTCATGAAAAGCTACGGTTGTATTTCGAATAAAACTTTGGACTCCATCATATTGGTCGATTGTTTTGCGTGAATAGGTACAATAAAAGGATGCATAAAACTTGTCTACAGTGCAGCTTCATAACAGTTTATGATAGTCTGAACCACACTAACTGCCTAGTTCAGTATGCGTGTTCAATGTGGCACAGAAGACGATGATCATTGTAAACCTTTGCTTACGACCCATGGAGTCATAAATGAGGACCTTGGACACTTCAAAACAATATCACATTGTTGTTAAGAGGTTTTGACTTTTGAAAGAATCAGTCTGGTTATATTGGACTAAATGTCAAGTTTGTTCAGAAACTCCACAGTTGATTTTTTTTGGCTTCAACAAGATATTTACGGGTTTTGTCGGAATTCCTGGCAGAGAATTGAGGGGATATGCTATCCACGGCTGATTTTTCTACACAATCATGACCCCGACTTTACAAAGAATCGTATGTAAATTTATGTTTTACTTTAAATGCGAATAAATATAAATTGAAACAGAAGACATTGACTGGAGTGAAGTTCGAACCTGTGACATCGAGATTACCCTTGTAATATTTTTGAAACAGCCTAAGTTTACAAAGTTCTTTCCTTACTAAAAATTCCTACTGAGTATAGAGGGGTAAATCAAACAAGGACCACTTCATATAAATTATTTAAAAAATGTTATTTTTCCAAAAAAAAAAATCTTTCTATTAATTAATAGTTGAAATTACTCACCCCAAAAGATTCTAACTTTTTATCAGAGGTTTTCGGGAACTACTTCCCACATATAAATTGTTTGACCTGAACAAATATTACTCCTCATATTTAAGAAATTATATTGTGGGCAAATTATGATGAGGTCTTCAAAACTGCAAAAGCCGAAATCTCTTTTGAGAAGCCCAAACAATCATTGATAGTTATTCCAGAATACATTAGTTACGCAGTGCTTGTACAAACCTGTGATGTTGAATTGGCCATTTACAACTCGAACGAGTGCAACAACGAAAACTGTGAAGTTCGAAAACCAGCTGAATCGGGTCATCTTGCTGTCTAGGTGAACACTTGCCCTGAAGAAGTCTGGTAAAAAATAACACAGACGGAAGTTAAACTGCAGAAATAGCTGTATTTACAAACGTGAATGCATCGCATTTTGAAGTCTTCCGTGATCATATCATTGAACGCAAACTCAGCTGTCATGGCATTAAAACAATACTGTGTGGCTGGACTTATGGTTCTACTTCCTTGCTATAGTAATGTTTTTTCTCTCCCACAAGTCCCACTAGCTCTCTAGGTATTATAAATCGAAATTCCATTATTCCGTAAGGTTGATTATAACAGCGGGGTGCTGTGGTCCAATGGTTACGGTGTTCGACTCGTGTGCCGTGGTACATGGGTTCGAATGCTGACCGTGGGAACATGGTGCTTGTGCTCTTGAGCAAGGCACTTTACCATTATTGCTTCGTCCTTCGGATAGGATGTAAAGCCGTAGGTCCCATGTGTTGTGTAATGCACGTTAAAGAACCCAGTAACACATATCGCTAAGAGAAGGGGTTTGCCCCGGTGTTTCTGGCAGTGGCTGCAATATTTCTGGCAGTGGCTGCACCTTGTAAATCCCTATAAAGAGGTGCTAATGGGTCTCATATTTTCCATAAAATGTATTTACCTTTCTTTAATAATAGACATAATTTCCAGCACCTTGAGTACCTAATTGTGGGTACTACGTGCGCTATATAAGACTCCGATATTATTATTATTAACAAAGTGGCCCAGGTGGGATGCCATACAGCACTAACGTCATTCGTAATCAAATGAAGACGGCAACCAACCTGGGCCACACAAACATCAAACTATTTCCAAATTAGCTATATAAAGCTTTTAGACTTTTGTTTCCCTTACATTTTTCATTACAATGTCATTATTTTTAAAGGCATACTGAACTATCTTACACCGTCAATACTACCACATACTAGCATGGGAAATACCCGCAGTACTACTAGGAAAAATCTGTATGTTAATTATTGTAGAACGACATTGTCCAAAAACAGTGTTGTCCAACGTGGCACTCTATATTGGAATAGTCTGGATAACACTTTTAAATCATCACCCACTCTCTCTATTTTTGCTAAAAAACTAAAAAATCAATTTTTAATTGCATACTAAAACAATGTAATAGGGACAACAACGGCCTTGATTGCTGTCTTACACCGGTGTTTGTGCTCTGTCTTTCCATGTATGTCTGTCCCTTGTCTGTCTGTCCATAGGCTGGGGAACAAAAGCTTATGCTTCACCCCGGACCTAGATGCTGCCATTTAGTTAATGTTCACTATTGTAATTATATATATGTACATGTATTGCCAATTTGAATATATAACATTATGTATGGTCCTTTATGCAGCATCGAAATAAATGTATGTATATCGAAACCCCAGCTCTATACTCATGACATCGGAAACTCGCCATCTAAACAGTAAATGACGAATTGCTATTAAAAAAGTTACACCTTGACACCGGACACTCCTTATGTCAAAGCTATTTAGCGGCAACATTTTTGTGTCGCAAATAGGCTAGATCGATTGCGCGTGGTCCAAACCTTAATATTCCAAAATTCGTGGAGGTAGGATAAGGAAAAATAGGGTAGGGATCATTAAAGTTGGAAACATTTTGTGCACACCGCTATGGGAATGTCACCCTATAAGGTACGTACCATATTCCCGTAATTTATTATACATCTCCGATGTCATCAGTCTTATAGTTGCTTGGGTTTGTAAGCTAGGTCTCAGCGGCGCCGTGGAACATTAACAGCTTTGAAAGGGGGACCAAAAAAAAACAGTGCCGGCACCAACTGGCAGTTGCAAATTCGAAAAGCGGCGAGGGGGGGGGGGGGGGCTGAACCTCAAACATCAATAAGGGCGCCCTTTTCTATGGTTGTCGTTTTGAGGAATGTAATTACATCCGGTCCCCAAAATTCCGCCACGCCATGCCAACTGCAGAGTATATCATTTTATGTAGGCCTTCCCGATCAGACCGAAAACGATAATTCAATTCTGTTATTTCCAGAAACGGTGGGAAAAAGTGGAAATATTGGGGGCCATGCATGGCCCCCTGCACCCGGTTCCGCCGCCAGTGCTAGGGTTTCCCAAGGGCAAGGTGCTACCATACCATGTACGCGCCCTAAATGAATAATTCTCTGGCATTCATTGCTATGACTATAA